CACAATCATGTCTAGATAGTCCCAGTTTTTATTTATTTAATTTTGTATATGAAAAGGAAGAAATTTAATTTTCTTATTAAATTGAATTAGATTTGTGCTACTTACAAGTTGGTCTTCCTTTCTGGACAAGAATTTTAATATATGTGTTAGCACTTAGGAGTTTGACTTCATTTACGAAGCAGAAGATAAACTTCTTTCTTCATTTGGATCTTAAGAGAAATAATAAGCAAGGCTTCCATTAGAGGAGCTTTGGCTGATTGGCATAAAACAGTTTTCCTATAGTATTTAAAGAGAAGAATCTGTGGGGAAAGAAGACTAATTATATATTAGAAAAAACCATAATGTTTTATAAAGCATTACTGTTAGGACGTTACATTGAAATGCAGCTTTTGTCCTTTTGCCATTGCATGTTCTTGTTTTAGCCTATTTCTCTTTGAGAAACATCTGTGAAAGAGGAAAAATAGTCCCAGAATTAAGTGACTAGCTTTGAGGACTCATCAAGTGAACCTTTCTGGTCTTCAATGTCAAGTTTTATCAAACGGAGCTAATGATACCTACTTCATACTGCTGTTGAAAGTGTTAAATGAAATAATATATGTGAAAAAGCCTAGATAGGCAAGTGTGAGACTGGGCAACTGTAGGGTTTGGGATCTGTATGAGAGAAACCAAGATGAAAAGGACAAGATTTGTTTACTTACTGATATGGTTTGGCTGTGTCCCCATCCAAATCCCAACTTGAATTGGATCTCCCAGAATTTCCACATGTTAGGAGGGATCCGGGAATCAAATCATGAGGGAATCGGGAATCGTGAGGGCTGGTCTTTCCAGTGCTATTCTGGTGATAGTGAATAAGTCTCATGAGATCTAATGTGTTTATTAGGAGTTTCTGCTTTTTGCTGCTTCATCATTTTTCTCTTGACGCCGATGTAAGAAGTGCCTTTAACCTCTCACTGTGATTCTGAGACCTCAGCCTTGTGGAACTATTAAGTCCAATTAAACCTCTTTCTGTTCCCAGTTTTGGGTATGTCTTTATTAGCAGTGTGAAAACGAATTAATATATTTATTTATTTATTTATTTTTTTTTTGGCGGGGGTGGGGAACGGAGTTTCGCTCTTGTTACCCAGGCTAGAGTGCAATGGCGTGATCTCGGCTCACAGCAACCTCCGCCTCCTGGGTTCAGGCAATTCTCCTGCCTCAGCCTCCTGAGTAGCTGGGATTACAGGCACGCACCACCATGCCCAGCTAATTCTTTGTAGTTTTAGTAGAGACGGGGTTTCACCATGTTGACCAGGATGGTCTTGATCTCTTGACCTCGTGATCCACCCGCCTCGGCCTCCCAAAGTGCTGGGATTACAGGCGTGAGCCACCGCGCCCGGCCTAATGTATTTATTAATAACATATTTGGTCTAGGATTTGTTAGGGGAAGAGGAAACAATTGGAATCATTCTTGAATTGTCCTCTAGGCCTGTTTTCAGGGGATCATTGGTCTTAAGAAGTCTTTTTATGTTTGTGTCTTGGGTTTATGCAGGTAATGCCATGGTCTTCAAACCTTCTCCCTTTACACCTGTTTCTGCATTGCTACTGGCTGAAATCTACACTGAGGCTGGTGTGCCTCCTGGGCTCTTCAATGTGGTGCAGGGTGGGGCTGCCACAGGCCAGTTTCTGTGTCAGCATCACGATGTGGCCAAAGTCTCCTTCACTGGAAGTGTGCCCACTGGCATGAAGGTGAGGATGTAACCAGTATTGGTCAACACAAACGGCATTTGGATAGGGCAAAGCCAGTCCTACCCAGAGTATATTTTGGAGGCTTCTGTTTTGATTTTGCCTAGCCTGTATTGGGAATGGGGAAGGAGTTTTTATTGGGCAAAGGTGTGAAGTTTCCTGTAAAAGTGTGAAGGGGCAAAGGGAGTACACATGGAGTGATTTTTGGTAGGCCAGGTAGAGGAGGAAATATTAGCTCCAGTCTAAGGAGAGGATGTGTCTGAGTGGATAGGGGCCTGGGCTGCCACTTGTATTGTTTGGTGACTTAATTTCTTGTATAGAAGGAAGGATTTTTACTCAGGCTATTTCAGATTCATTATTTTGACATTAATTTGTGTTCTGAACTCTGTCAGCCTTATACACAGTAACAGTAACACAAAAGAATTTCTGACTATGATAGTCTTCTGAATTAACAATATTTTTTATTTTTGTTTTTTTGAGACAGTGTCACCCTGTTGCCCAGGCTGGATTGTAGTGGTGTAATCACAGCTTACTGCAGCCTTGAACTCCTGGGCTCAGGCAATCCTCCTGCTTCAGCCTCCTAAGAAGCTGGGACTATAGTCATGTGCTACTGTACCTGGCTAATTTTCTTATTTTTCTGTAGAGGTAGGGTCTTGCAATGTTACCCAGACTGGGACGACATTTTTTAAATGAACTCCCTCTTCCAGGGTCAGTGCAGCTCGGTGGATTCTCTTCAGTTTTTGGAAAAGTATATTTTAATAGACAAAGGCAAAGGATATTGACAAGAATAAGGCTACAGGTCACACACAGTTCAAGATGATTTTGTAGGTTCAGGGTCTAATTGACCTAGCATGCGATGTAATTTTGTGTTAAAGTTCTGAATACCTTGTCCTTGTTCTGTAAGATCATGGAGATGGCATCTAAAGGAGTCAAACCTGTTACCTTGGAACTTGGAGGCAAATCTCCACTCATCATCTTCTCAGACTGTGATATGAACAATGCTGTGAAGGGGGCGCTGATGGCCAACTTCCTCACACAAGGCCAGGTATGTACCTGTCCCTGGAAGAGGTGTAAAAGGAATCTCCACCTCCTCATCTGACAGCATGTTTTAAAGATTTTTAGTTTGTAATACTTTCTGACTTACAGAAAAGTTGCACAAACAGCACAAAGAATTCCCAGGTACCTTTGAACCAGATTTCCCAAATAATAACATTTTAACACATTTACTTTATCATCTTCTTTATCTGCCTGTACATACATAGGCATATTAAGTTTTTCTGAGCCTTGAGATTAAATTGTAGACATAAGGCCCCTAACCTCTAAATATAAAGTTCCTTAAAACAAGTGCATTCTTTTACATAAGCACAGTACACTTAGTAAGATTGAAAAATTAACATTGATATCGTACTGTTACTCAGTCTGTAGGCCTTACTCAATCTATAGTCCCTATTCAAATTTGCCATTTGTTTGACAAATGCCGTTATAGCAAAATAGAAAAAAATGTTTTTTCTGGTCCAGGATCCAGTCAGAGAGGATGCATTGCCATTAGTTGTATTGTCTTTAATCTCCTTTAGTTGAGAACAGTTCTTTTCTTTCAGGACCTTGACATTTTGGGAGAACAGGCCATTCATTTTGTAGAATGTTCTTTAGTTTGGGTCTGTCAGATGTTTCCTGTTAGATTCATATTATGAATTTTTGGCAAAAGTACCGCAAACATGTTGTTGTATCCTATTCACTGGTGACTTAACTTTGATCACTTGCTTTAAGGTGAATCTTCACTGTAAAGTTACTGTGTCTTAGTTTGTGGTTAATAAGATCTTGTAGGAGGTATTTTGAGACTATCAAGTTCCTCATCAAACTTTCATGCGGTAAATACTTTTATCGCCACTGATGAGTCTTGCTAAAAACAGTTTTTATTATGGTGGTTGCAAATGGTGTTTTCCAATTCCATCATTTCTTCTATATTTGTTAGTTCACCTTCTACTGTAAGAAAGAGCTTGCCTTTCACGCCTGTTTGTTTTTCATTCATTCATTTATATCAGTATGGACCCATGGATTCTTACTTCATTCTATGTGTTGTAATCCAGTACTATCATTATTTATTTATTTTTATTTTTATTTTTATTTATTTATTTTTTGAGACGGAGTTTCACTCATGTTACCCAGGCTGGAGTGCAATGGCGCGATCTCGGCTCACTGCAACCTCCGCCTCCTGGGTTCAGGCAATTCTCCTGCCTCAGCCTCCTGAGTAGCTGGGACTACAGGCACGCGCCACCATGCCCAGCTAATGTTTTGTATTTTTAGTAGAGACGGGGTTTCACCATGTTGACCAGGATGGTCTCGATCTCTTGACCTCGTGATCCACCCGCCTCGGCCTCCCAAAGTGCTGGGATTACAGGCTTGAGCCACCGCGCCCGGCTATTTTTATTTTTTTATTGAGATGGAGTCTGTCACCCAGGCTAGAGTGCAGTGGCGCCATCTCGGCTCACTGCAACCTCCGCTGCCTGAGTTTAAGCAATTTCCCTGTTTCAACCTCCAGACTAGCTGGGACTACAGGTTTGCGCTACCATGGCCCTCTAATTTTTTTTTTTTTTTTAAGATGGGATTTCACCATGATGGCCAGGCTGGTCTTGAACTCCTGACCTCAGGTGATCCACCCACCTTGGCCTCCCAAAGTGCTGGGATTACAGGCGTTAGCCACCGTGCCTGGCGGCCCTCTAATTTTTTTGTATTTTTAGTAGAGACGTGGTTTCGCCATGTTAGCCAGTTTGGTCTTGAACTCCTGGCCTCAGGTGATCTGCCCACCTTGGCCTCTCAAAGTGCTGGTATTACAGGCGGGAGCCACCGTACCTGGCCTCATTATTTATTTTGATGCTCAAATAATTGCATATTGGCTAGTGGGAACCCCTTTCTGTGACCTTTTGTTATGTCCTCATTATTCTTTGAATACTTCATTACTTTCTGGCATAGCAAAGTGTTCCAGACTCATCTCATACTTCCCCTGGCTGTGCTCTGGAATCAGCCGTTTCTCTAAAGGAGCCCTGTTTCCATTATTGTTTATTTGTTTGTCTATTATTATTATTTTTGAGACAAGGTGCTACTCTGTTGTCCAGGTGAGAGTGCAGTGGTGTTTTCTTGGCTCATTGCCACCTCAGCCCCCACCAGGTCAAGTGATCCTCCCATCTCAGCCTCCCATGTAGCATGCTACCACACCCAGCTAATTTTTGTATTTTTTGTAGAGATGGGATGTCACTGTGTTGGCCAGGCTGGTCTTGAACTCCTGGTCTCAAGTGATCCATGCACCTTGGCCTCCCAAAGTGCTGGGATTGCAGGCATGTTCCACTGTGCCCATCCTGTTTTTTTATATTTTGTAATTTTTTAAAATGATTATTTAGAAGGACTATCTTCAAACCAGTATGAGTATTTCATAAATAACATGTTTGTTTGTTTGTTTTAACAAGTTGAGTAAATTGTTGCACAATAAGCCACCTCACATCTTTCAGCAAGAAAAACACTAAATCCGAACAGTAAAGACATTACACAATAGGTTAGGACACAATTAAAATTTGCTTTAATTATTTCTTTGAGGGAAAGGACACCATACTTGTCTACTCAATGAAGAGAAAGAATTTTGCAGTCCAGAGGTCTTTTATTTTTTTACACCTATCATGCCATGGATTCACAGAGAAGAGGCTCCAGCAGCTCAGGCTCCTTCCCATTGGTTCTCACACAGTGTGCTTCCCTGGGTGGAGTAGGCTGGTGCTTCAGCTGAACACAAGTACCTTTCTCTTTGGCTTCCTTCTTTTTCTGATCATCATCTTACATGCATTTCAGAAGCTGTCTTGGCTCTTAGAGTGCTTGATGTACTCAGTGTGCACATTAATTCTCTTGACCAGAATTTTGCCTTTATTTGTTTACAATAGTGCCAACAACATGCTGGGTAACAGTGTAGGCTCTTCCAGCTTTGCTGTGGTAATGCTTGTGGGGTATCCCTTTTTGAACAGTACACATTCCCTTAATGTGTACAATATTGCCTTTCTTTTTTGAGATGGAGTCTGGCTTTGTCGCCAGGCTGGAGTGCAGTGGCACCAGTCATCCTCCTAATGGATATGAAATGGTATCTCATTGTGGTTTTGATTTGCATTTCCCTGAATGATCAGTGATGTTGACTGCATATGTAATTTTATAAGATATTGCCAAATCCCTTTCTTAAAGGAAATGTTGCATTCTTACTAAAAATGTATGAATACCTATTTTCTCATAGCCTTTCTTAACAGAATATATAGTCATAATTCTAAATTTTTACCAGATAGATAAGACCGTGGTATTTCAGCATAGTTTTAATTTGACTTTATCTGTCTGTCTATCTATCTATCTATCTGACTGTCTGTCTGTCTGTCTGTCTGTCTGTCTGTCTTTGAGATAGGGTCTTGCTCTGTTGCCCAGGCTGGAGTGCAATGGTACGATCTTGGCTCACAGCAACTTCAGTCTCCCAGGTTCAAGTAATTCTCCCACCTTAGCCTCCCGAGTAGCTGGGACTACAGGTGTGCACCACTACACCCAGCTAATTGTATTTTTAGTAGAGATGAGGTTTTGCTGTGTTAGCCAGGCTGGTCTTAAACTACTGACTTCTAGTGATCCACCTGCCTCAGCATCTCATAGTGCTGGGATTACAGGGTAAGCCAGCATGCCCAACCTAATTTCAGTTTTATAATTATGAATGACATTGAACATCTTTTTCAAAATTCACGTATAATGTTCACATTTTTGGTGTGTTGTACTATGAGATATAATTTTCCATTAATTTTTAAGAGTTTTTTAAAATTAGTGATCATAGCCTTTTATCTGATATAAATGTTGCAAATAATTTTATTCCAGTTTTTCAATGGTCTTGACTTAGTTTAAGGTATTTGCCATGCAAAAGATTTTTATTTTTCTGTAGACAAATTTATCAATTTTTTTCTTTAATTGTGTCTAGATTTGGGATAATTGAAAACTTTTTTCTACACCTAGGTTTTAGAGGAATTACCTGTATTTTCTCCTTTTTTTTTCTTTAAAAAAAAAGTCTCACTTTCTCACCCAGGCTGGAGTGCAGTGACGCAGTCATGGTTCACTATATCCTTGACCTCTTGGGCTCAAGTGATCCTCCCACATTCGCCTCCCAAGTAGCTGGGATCACAGGTGCATGTCACCACACCCGACTAATTTTTGTATTTTTTGTAGAGATGGTGTTTCACCATGTTGTCCCAGTTGATTTTGGACTCCTGAGCCCAAGTGATCCACCCACCTTATATTCCCAAAGTGCTGGGATTACAAGTGTGAGCCACTATGCCTTGATTTCTTATTTTATATTTTGATTTCTGATACATTTGGAGTTTATGTATGAAGTAAGATACATATCTTGTTTTATGTTTTCCAGATTACTAATGATTTGTTCTAGAACCATTTATTTAGTCCATCTGTGTCTTAATGGTTTAACTTTCACCTTTGTTATAAACTAGATTTTCATGAGCACTTGGATCTGTTTTTGGGCTTTTGTATTCTATGTTCTTACAACATTTGAACAGTGTTTATGTTCCTTTCTATAGGAGGGTCTGAATAGTGATTATTAATGATTTCAAAGACAAGCGTGGACGGAACTCAATATTTTAACAATTAGATTTAAGACTGCAGTTCTTAATACAGTTTTACTCTTCAGTTCCCTGCCATCCTTAAAATATACACCCAGATTGAGCCCCTGATAGGAGGAAGTAGGAGAGGTGCTATGGGTTATATGGATCTAGCAATGGCCTTAACAAAATTTAAACAAGCAAAATAAGAACTTTTACCTCAAAGGGCAGATTTTGCTTATGGAGTGATATGTCCACAATTATGTCTGTGATCCTTCTTATTCAGTATGGAGACAATTTTTTAGAAATGGAAATACCTTTTTAAAAAAATGTATAGTGTCTCTTTTCAGTTTAAAGTTTTTAGATTGCGTTCCTTTTTCCTTTTCCCTTTTTTCCCTTTATACACATAGAAATTGATGTCTCTGTTTGTCCTTTAGGTTTGCTGTAATGGCACAAGAGTATTTGTGCAGAAAGAAATTCTTGATAAATTTACAGAGGAAGTGGTGAAACAGACCCAAAGGATTAAAATTGGAGATCCCCTTCTGGAAGACACAAGGATGGGTCCACTCATCAACCGACCACACCTGGAGCGAGTCCTTGGGTTTCTTAAAGTGGCAAAGGAGCAGGTAAGAAATAATTGGCAGTAGGGTGAGTTGGGGAAGATTAAACTAGTCCTAAATCACTTACTTTGTGCCCTTTTCATGTTAATATTCATTTGACTATTAGCATTCCTGGCTGTGTTCTGCTTTGTGCCTGCACTGTGAAGACTAAGTATGCGTTTGTTCAGGATACACTTAACATTTCAGGAATGCATTTTGGGATTGTATTTTTAATACAAAAGTTTTTTTTTTTCCTTTTTCGGCAGGGTGCTAAAGTGTTATGTGGTGGAGATATATATGTACCTGAAGATCCCAAATTAAAGGATGGATATTACATGAGACCTTGTGTATTAAGTATGTCTTCTTTTTGTTTGCTTTTACATTATTTGAATTAAATACTGAATAGATAGAGGTGAATATTTATAAAATATGTATATGGTATAAAGCAAGGGACTGGCAAATGTGTGGTCCTACTACCCAGGTTTAAGAAGTAAACTACTTACTCCATTACCTTCAGATCCTTCTGTGTGCCCGTCTTTTAGGGCACCCATATGTATTAGTTTATACAGGACCACAATTATCATTCTGGAAGTAAGGGACTAAAAAATATTAAAGTGTATATTTGACTTAAAAAATAAAGTAATTTAATTCCTTGAGAAAGTAAAGAATGTTTTTCATGTGACCTGTAGGTCATTGTATTAAACATTTTGCATTGCTATGAAGGAATATTTAAGATTAGGTTAGTAGTAAAGATGTTTATTTGATTCATGGTTCTTCAGACTGTACAGGAAGCATGGTGCCATCATCTGCTCTTGGTGAGGCCTCAGGAAGCTTTCAGTCGTGGTGGAAGGTAAAAGGGGAGCAGGCGAGTCACATGGTGAAAGAGAACAAGACAGGTTGCAGGCTCTTTCAAACAGCCAGGTCTGTGTGAACTGACAGAGCCAGAACGCACTCATTACCATGCGGAGGGCATCAAGCCATTCATGAGGGATTTGCCCCTGTGACCCAAAAACCTCCCACGAGGCCCCACCTCCCAACAATGGAATTCATACTTCAACATGAGATTTGGAGGGGAAAAGCATCCAAACTGTATCAGTCATCAATAAAACAAAACCAGTTTGTCAGATAATGTATTAATCTTTTTAGAAATTACATAATAGTACCTCCAGTCAGTCTTAAAAATTTGGTTTTGACAGTCAAGGTGTATATGGCCATCCTATTCCCAACCATCTACTTCCTCCTACTTCAGAGGTAACTACTATTCTAAATGTTTTTAATCATTCTTGGCTTTTTGTCTATCATTTGATAGTGTATGTTAGTATCCCTTACAAAAATATTGATAGTTTTGTAGGCTTTAAACAATTATACATAGATTGGACCATGTTGTATAATTTCTTACACATTATTTGACTATAAATTAAGCTGGTTTTTGCCCCTAAGGCTGATACTGGTGTCAGTTTTTAACAGCTTTATATTCGATGCAGTGTATAACCTTTCACCCTCACTAAAAAGAACCAATGATACTTAAAAGCTGAGAAACCTAATGTCCATACCATGAATTAGATTGCAGTTATTACATGAATAGGAAAAGCTTACAATATATTGTTAAATTAATAATATTGGGCCAGGTGCAGTGGATCACTCCTGTAATCCCAGCACTTTGGGAGGCTGAGACAGAAGGGACGCTTGAGTCCAGGAGTTTGAGACCAGGCTAGGCAACATAGTGAAACCTCATCTTCAAAAAATTAGCTGGGGGTGATGGTGCACACTATGGTCCAAGCTACTCAGGAGGTTTTTATTTTAATGTTTGCAGCTAATTGCAGAGATGACATGACCTGTGTGAAAGAAGAGATCTTTGGGCCCGTTATGTCTATTTTACCATTTGACACTGAAGCTGAGGTTGTAGAAAGAGCCAATGATACCACTTTTGGACTAGCAGCTGGCGTCTTTACCAGGTATATGGAGAGGGACACTGAGAGCAGTTTTGGAGTGGGGCTACAGTATCTGCTCAGATATATAATTGATCCTGTTCTTTTTTTTTTTTTTTGAGACGGGGTCTTGCTCTGTCACCAGGCTGGAGTGCAGTGGCCTAATCTCCGCTCACTGTAACCTCTGCCTCCTGGGTTCAAGCAGTTCTCCTGCCTCAGCCTCCGGGACTAGCTGGGACTACAGGTGCCTGCCACCACCCCCAGCTAATTTTTTTTGTATTTTTAGTAGAGACGGGGTTTCACCATGTTGACAAGGATGGTCTCAATCTCTTGACCTCGTGATCCACCCGCCTCAGCCTCCCAAAGTGCTGGGATTATAGGCGTGAGCCACTGCGCCCGGCCTTGATCCTGTTCTCTCACTTTAATTTGCCCTCATAGGAGCCATCGGTGCTTTCTGTTTGCTTCAGGTTAAGTCAGAAGACACCAAAGCAGCATTTTGTAGTTTGCCGTAAATGGCCAGAGAACCCTGCTATTGAGTTTAAAATTGAGCTATAAACTTTGTTGATGTAAATGTTGTCCTTTTTTATTCATTTGTTTAATAAACACTTAAGATTCTGATCTATGTAAGGCATTGGGCTAGATGTCTTTTGAAAACACACATGTCAAGAAATTTAGAAACCTCTAAGCATATAAACTGTGGGCAGTATTCTTCAAAAACATGATTTTTAGTGGCGTTATAGTAGTTCCTAACTGAAATGCATTATAACTCATGTAGCTATTTTTTCTGTGGTTGGATATTTAGGATATTGTTTCCAGTTTTAACTATTACAGTAATGTGATTAATACCTTTGTGCATAAACTTTAACCTCTGCTATTGCAAGTGAAAATGATTTGGGAGTACAATTTCTTTGAAATTAATTGCAGATTGCTTGGTTTTATGCAAACTTTGATTAGTCTTTGGCGGTAGTAGGCAGTTTTCTAAAGCTGCTTTACACTGGGGATTATGCTGTTTCTTTGGTGATACATAAATTTAATTTTTTTTTTTATAGCTTTATGGTCAGGAACTTGGGAAGAAAGCCCAAGTCTCACTTGAGGACCTGATGTAATTGCTTCTCTTTGAGCTCTGAAGAAAAGATTGAGGAGATGATCTTTTGATTTGGGGATTGAGCAGGTTAAGTGCTCTTACTTTGCTTTGCCACCCTAGTACAGACAAAGTGTAGTTACAAAGGAGGGTAACTCCAATGTGCTATTCCTTTTCTCTTACCA